GTCACATCTGCTTGCTCATGTGAGGCTTTTTCTCTTTTCACATACAAGTGTTCATTTTTGAGACAGTTTTGTTCACATCTCAATATACTATCTGATTTTCAAGTTTGCACTTTTTTTAATGTGACAGGAAAAGATAAGATACATGAGGATTTTGAAACACAGTTAAACCACTTTCAGAACTGTAAAAAAAGATTGAATTTGAAATTAATCGATTTAGAACTGAATGAATCAAAATCAAATCGCTTCAGGACTTTGGCAAAAATACCGAGCCCTACTTATTAGTGTATTTTTATTGTTTAAATATAATAATATTGTAATATTCTGCTTCTCTTTCTACATGGGAACAAAGATGCATGGCATCAATTACTACAAATGTGTTTTCAATTTTTCTAAAGACCAGTCGGACTTTGCCAAGGAGTTAAAAACTGCTTTCACAATCAATGTTTCTGCAGGGTAGGGTTAATATTGATCTAAAGCATAATGGCCAAATCATGTAGCTATAAATAAAATTATAATCCAACTGAAAGTTAGTTTTTTTTTTTTTTTTTTTTACCATTCATTTATTGTTCTCTGCGTGTATATATGTCTGTAATTTTTTTTTTTTTTCAAATGTCGCATTAACCTAATTTCTGTTCAGGTTGGTTGTGGTGTGGGGAATACCGTTTTCCCAATACTCAAGACAAACAAGTAAGCTCATCCGAAAAGAAAAAAAAAGAGAAAATGTTTTCAAAAAATCATCCTTCTCCTGTTGTGAAGTTTATCTAACCTCAACTTGGCCTTTTGTTGCAGTGATTCTGGACTTTTTGTTTACTGCTGTGATTTCTCCAGCACCGCTGTGGAATTGGTGAAGGTTAGAAGTTTGGATTCAAAAGAATATTTTCTTTTTTCTGACTTCTTAATAAATAAATAAATGACGTTTTCTCTTCTTTATCAACAGACTAATCCAGAGTATGACCTGAACCGCTGCTTTGCCTTTGTTCACGACTTGAGCGATGCTGAGGCTAGTTTCCCTTTCCCTGATGAAACTCTTGATGTTATCGTCTTGATCTTTGTGCTATCAGCCCTGCATCCAGACAAGTATGAAAGCATATTGCTTTGCCTCCTTTTGTCCTTTCATTTAGGCGCACATATTGTAAGATCTGATGTTTTCTAGACATTGTGTAAGAGTTTTTCCTCCATCTCAGAATGCAGGCCTCTATCAGTAGATTAGCACGTCTCCTGAAGCCAGGTGGAGTGATGCTGCTCAGGGACTATGGGCGCTATGATATGGCACAGCTGCGCTTCAAGAAGGGTAAGTGGAGCTTTTTCAGGCTTCAACATATCCTTACTTGCAACATATTTTTCTTAAAACTACTGTAAAGACTTTGCTTTAAAATCAGTCGAACTAATGTAACAAATTCTCAGTGATCAATATTTCAAAATGCCACTATCGATCCATTCATGGCTTCTGTTCATTCTTCATTAAACATAACCTTTGCCAACTAACAGTGTATTTTCTCATTTTTGGGATATGAAGGCATTGCAAATTCCCAGAAGGGTTCTGTACTGTAGATCTGGCCTGGGGCCTCATCTGAGGAGAAAAACTAAAAGTGTTGATTATATGTCTACAAAATCCATGTGTCATTTGTTTTTCAAATTGAAACTAACAATGAAAATATGAGAAACAACTGTGTTTTTTTTTTCATTGTCTTGTTTTTTTTAAATTTCATTCTAGAAAATAATATGGTAAAAAATGGAGAGCAGTTCTTTTTTAATTCAACATTTCCCAACTACTTTAAACATGAAGAGAACCGATAACGAGCAAATAAATAAGTCTTTTAAATTTCTAAACTGGGAGGATTTGGAATTGCAGAGTAGATCATGCACCATAACAGCTGACTTTCATTATTAAAATATAGTTAGTTTACATGTGTCCAGCTGATGTAATTTATGATGGTGTTCATTAAGACAAGATGCCATAAGTGTGCAAAATAAAAAAAACATTATAATTAATATATCCCATATTTATTTTATATATTTCATGTGAGAATTGCATAAAACATAAGAGGAACTGTTCTCCATCTTTCTATACTTTATAAAATGAAATTTTAAACTATTTCTTGAATTTTCATTGCTGGTTTCAGATTGAAAAATGCATGAATGTATGAAGTAAGCCTAAAAAACATTAATTGGATTAATTGTGATTTTTACATTTTTGAAAAAAATTGTCAACTAATTTTAATTAACTGAAGTATAGAGACTAGCTGACAGAGCAACCCACTCAGAGCAGCAGTAACATGTCAAATTTAAGATAGAAAAACCTTATTTATCCATCAATATGCTCTGTCCAGAACTCCTCAAGTAAAATAGTTCTAGTTTTACCTGGTTTAAATACTCTAAAAAAAAAAAAATCTTCTCTTAAGGAATAATTTCCTTAAGAAATAATCATGAGTTGCTGCCTTAGTATGATTAACAGACACTAAACACGTCAAAAAACGAGTTTTTATGTTTTCTATTTTGTCGTTATTGTATTTAACTGCAAGAATAGCCTAACAAGAAAATATTTTCTCAGAGATGTTATATACGCTCTTAGCTTTCAGTTTATAGTGTTACATTTATTCTTCAAATGAGTTAGTCTGTATTCTCTAAGTGGATCACTGAGATGTTAACTTGTTAACAGAATTAGGATCCCTGAGCCAGTAGCATTTATACATAGAAGAAGATGGAGGTTACGGTACACAATATGATTAAGAATTGACTTAAGAGCAGCAAAAAACATAACAACAAACCAGCATATTGTCTCATCTAGCAGGGTGGACTAAATTTGTTTTTTGCATGTTTTTTAATCTTTACAATTTTGATATAGCTTCGTTGGGAGATCAAAACTTTTTTTTTTTGCTCGTTGTTTATTTCATAAGCTAACAGACCCATTGGTAATCATGTACTTTAATATATATACATTTTTATTTTTTTGTTGGTTTCAGAATCAGAATTACTTTATTAATCCCTTGCGGGACATTATTTTCTTGCAGTGGAACCGTTTACAGAAGAGAGAAAAATTGTAAGTGAAATACAATATAATCGGACAGAATTAAATTGCAACAAAGTAAAATTGCACCCCTCCCCTATAAATAGTGATACAAATAAAATAAGGATCTCAGTATTTACAATTTACACTGCTGTTCAGTAACTAAATTACTATTATTGGACATGAACGTGTTATTGCGCAAAGTGAAGTAATGAAATGAGTTAACTGTCAGAGAGATGAATTATACAGATAGATGGCCACAGTCAGGAATGAGTTCCTGTGGCGCTCTGTGGTGCAGCGTGATGAAATGAGTCTCTGACTGAAGGTGCTTCTGTGGGTGACCAGCTTAACATGAAGAGGATGTGCAGAATTGTCCAGCATGGATTTAACCCTGGCCAACATTCTTCTATCTGATACTGCAGTTAGAGAGTCCAGCTCCTCTATAACACTGTGACTGTTCTTGCGGATGAGTTTGTTAGTCTGTTCGCGTCCTTCACCTTCAGTTTGATGCCCCAGCATGCAACAGCATAAAGGATGGCACCGGCAACAACAGACTTATAAAACATCCGCAGCATTGTCCAGCAAATGTTGAAGGACTCCAGCTGCCTCAGAAAATAGAGATGGCTCTGGGCCTTCCTTTAGAGGGCATTTGTGTTTTTAGTCCAGTCCAGTTTGACAACTTTCATTCATTTTAGATTAGTTTTTAGAATATTGCCTCCTAACAGACTTGTTCCGGCTCCAGCTTTCAGTGTCGTTGTGTCCTTGAGCAAGACACTTCACCTGCATTGTCTACTGATGGTGGTCAGAGGGCCCGGTTGTGCCAGTGTACGGCAGCCCCGCTTCTGTCAGTGAGCCCCACGGCAGCTGAGAAGCAGCTGTGGCTACAGTGTAGCTTGCCACCATCAGCGTGTGAGAATGGGTGAATGACTGAATGTAGTGTAACGTGCTTCGGTCAAGTCTCCTGACTTGAAAAAAGCTCTATATAAGTACAGGCAATTTACCATTTCATTTTGTTAACATTAAAGGACAAAGATCAAAATGTCTGCTTAAAATTTCTGAGCAAAATATCCACGACTACATTTAATAGAATTCGTCCATTTATTGCATAGACCTGCTTATCATTGCAGCCAAACCTTTGAATTTTATTTGGCCATTCAGTGTCTGGAATAATAGACAAACTGTTTTATTTTGTGTGTTTGTATATTTTTTCAGGTAGATGTCTCTCTGAAAATTTTTATGTCAGAGGGGATGGAACACGAGTGTATTTCTTTACACAGGGTAAATAATACAAACATAGTTTTTTTTTTATGTTTTCCTTTACTGATTCATTCTTTCCTCACAAACATAAACAAATTTTTGTGTTTCAGATGAGCTTCATGAGCTGTTCACCGCAGCTGGGCTTGAAAAAGTGCAGAACCTTGTGGACAGGCGTCTCCAGGTGAACAGAGGGAAACAGCTCACCATGTACAGGGTTTGGATCCAGTGCAAGTACCGCAAGGCTTCATGAGACACGAGGAAGATTCCCACCCAAAGTGACAAAGATTGTGGGGTTTTTCCACAAGACATTTAGAGCAATCGGATTTTGAAAGATTTTTTTATTTTTTCTTAAACTGGGTGCCATAATATTGTTGGACCTTTTTTTTTTTTTTTTGCACATTAATTTGGAGAACCAGTCTCAATGGCCATATATATGACTTTTCTGCTAATGAATTGTGTAATCTGAAATAAGGACTTATAGCCCCTTTAAATGACTATTTTCTGTAGGATATAGGTTTTAATCCACAGTTTTCAAAATAAAGGATTTTTATGACCTTTTTGTACAATTAGTTCTGAAAAAACATGCACATTAAAATGGAAAGTCTTTGCAATATGATCAGGATGAGAACTTTCTGATGAATTTATGGCTTCATGGGGGTGGTCACTGTTAAATTTCATTGTGTGGAGAGGATTTGTTTTATTGGTCCAGACAACAGATTTGGGGGGGCAGGCGTGGACTGAAGGAAGGTGAAACTACTTAAAGATCTCACGAGAAAATGTGAGATTTTCCTGATTATTGTTTACATTGCAAAAACATGATCCGGATTCAGCTGAAACGATTCCAAAGGCAACACTTCCGAAATCGGATGTCTTTTTGATCCTTTTTGCACCTCAGACGAAAATTGGTGTCGGAACTTTGTTTTGGTTTAGCTGCAAAGCCAAGACCCTAAATTCACCGCAGCACAGGGGGAGATAGATACAGGGGGTGGGGGGGAAACTACTCGAGCTCAAAGACATTATTTATACCTGCTGAAAAGCGCATATTCTCCAGGGTCGCCATTGTGTGGAGCGAGATACGCCAGATCACAGTGCGGTATGGCCCTCGGAGCGGGGGATATGATGGGGATCCCCGCTTAAAAAAAAGGCACATAAAGGCGGGTTTGGGAGACCCGGAGTTCAGACGAGGCCTCTGAGGGAATCCTCCGTGGTCTACCTCAAGCTGCGCAGCGGGCGTCCGCGCTTCGATCGTCAACAACCAGCACGCGAGGGACGAGGCTTTGGATGCGGCCTAGCCTGGGAGGGTCTACCTAACACCGGGGAGAAAACACAAACGGTTTCAGCGACAACTCCCCCAGAAAACGGAGCAAATCGTGACTGCAGTAAGTATCCGGAGGGGGTTTGTGGAACAAAACTATTTCGTCTGAAGGATGTTGCTTCAGTGAGCCCAGGTATCGTGGCAGTTGATGCTGAATTGAGGGTAAACCTAAAGCCTAACAGTCATTTCTGACAAGAAAATAATATGAAGTCTCGTGTTATATATATTACCTTAATTATTTCTAATACTTCTCAACAAAACGTTAATTGTTTTGGTCTATCCATTTAAAGATGGAATAACATTAGCTAACTGTTAGCCGCTTAATTGCTAACTGATGGCCAACATCGGTAGCTTTCAGCTCGTTTACTCAAAGTTAGCTAACGCCTAACTTACTAATTGTGTTCATAATTAGTTCGCTACTTATTTCGTTGCAAGTTTTAAAACGTTAGTGTTCAATTTTGCAACATATATACATTAAAGTCAGTTTGTTATAAATGCAAGCCGTTGGTAATAAACGTGCATAGTAGCCAGTTGGGCGTTTGATTTTAAAACGTCCTACCGGTCAGCAAACTGACCATTTATTGTGGCTATTTACCCTTTGCCACAGGCAGCCCCCCATTATTGACCCTTTGCAACAACAGCCCCTTTAAACTTAGGCCTGTCTTGTAAAGTAAAGGCGTTATCAAATCATGCCAATGACTTTACACATCTGCCTTCCGTTTATGATTCATTTTAATTACCAGTATATGCTTATAGTTGTGCACTACATGCATACTATGTTTTTTGTTTTATTTTTGCTTATTGTGTTATGTTTAGTGAATTTTACTTTGTAGGTATACATTTAAAACATAGTAAAACTTATTGATGACTCAGAGGAGGAATTTTCCACATTCATATAGCTAAAAACAGCCATGACTCATCACAACTGGTGTCATTTGCACCAGTCATTCTATTATCTGGGTATTCCAGGCTCTATCATGTTTTTCCTTAAGTTGTGCTCTATTTCCACAGCTATGATGGAAGAACTGCACAGCCTGGACCCCCGGAGACAGGAGCTGTTGGAGGCACGCTTTACTGGGGTTGGAGTGAGTAAGGTTTGTATACACCACTTGTCACAGTGGTTGAGATGGGGGAATATGGAATGCGAGTGCTAATAGTCACAGATGCACATGATTGTGGATGGTTGTGAATCACTATCCTTTTTTTGTTTCATTTTCACCTCGAGTATCAATCAGCCTTTCAGCCTGAGCAAGTTTGGGCTCCTGCCTTTTCTTTGTCTGTCGCTGGAGAAGGGTGAGCCACGTCTGTGTTTTTTTGGCTGCTAGGACATGGCATCGCTCCCTGGCTTGTGATGTAGCGACTGTATATCTGAGCAAACTGCTCCTGCCAAAATGGGCAGCAGACAGGATGAGGTTGGTAGGGCACAGAGCAAGAATGTGGAAATAGTTTTTGACCAGGTATCTTAAGAATTTGTTCTTTTTTTGTGGTTTTTACACTCACAGCTTTGGAATATAGATGAAGCTGTCAGTCTTCTTGGAATAGTTGGGGAGCTGGAGTTGGTGCCAAGAGCAGGCCCTGTGCCAACCATAGGCAAAGCTGCTCTCAGAGCATGGCATGGCTGCTGTCGCAGAGAAAATGGCGACACTTGTTAAGGCACTATGCCACAATTTGCTCGTACCTAAAAGATGGGTGAGAGTAAAGACGTATGGTTTATTAATTCATCGGGTTCTTCAGTTATATTTCCTCGTTCACCTTTGATTCCTCATTGGCACTGCCGCACTTTGTGTAAAACAGAGTCAGCAGAAAAGTAAAAGATTCTTTAAGGACAAAGGGATGTAACACCTTTTGATAAATGGACAGATGTGGCCTTTAATAGTTGCTTATTGCATCCCCAAGCATCCAGAGTAGTTTTTTTTTTTTGTTAGCTTTTAGTTTGAAAGTGAAACACCTGCTGAGTGGATTTCCGCAGAGTGGAAAAGGCTGATTGAAATTGCGGTGGAAAAATGGACGACATTATCGGCAAAAGGTGGCAGATGGAGAAAGGAATGGATCCCCAGCAGCCTGCCTGATATTCCTCCATTTTAGGAGGGTTCAGTGAGGGAGCTCTAGTGTGCTCAGAATGACTAAGTGGCTCTGTCTGATTGGCCAGTGCCTGCTGAATTTTGATGTGAATCATTTGATTGACAGGCATCACCTAGGGAACCAACATTAGTACTGATGCAGGTCTCTCTGCACGCTTATGCTTTATGGTGATGGTGTGTGCCCAACCTTCCATCTCCATTCCTGTTTCTCAGCTTTTAAAGCTTATGTTTTTGTCCTTATTTTCCCACTGTTTCCTACCTGTTGGATGTTTTAAAACATTTACATTTCTTTGTGTGTATTTAAGTCCCTTTTTTTTTTTTTTTTTGTCAACAGGGCTCAGGTCAGAGTCAGAATGAGTCATCCAATCAGAGTCTGTGCAGTTTGGGTTCACTTAGTGACAAAGAGCTGGAGGTTAGTCTTATCTCTTCCATATTGATTATTTGTGCACATCCTCCCAGTTAGTCCACTTTTCCACTCACTTGATTCATACCACTTTCTTCACAGACACCAGAGAAAAAAGCAAACGAGCAGAGAGTTAGAAAACGTAAAGCGGACTACTTTGACAGCAGTCAAGGTAAGTTAATCCTCTCTTTTGAGCCTTTCATCATTTATTTTTTTATTTTTAAACCCCTTCTCTTTTATAGGCAAAGCAGGAGCAAGGGGGCTTAAAATTAGCGATTATTTTGAGGTGAGTACTCCCATCACATCAACTTCTAGCACTTAACTTTCATCCCTTCTTTCTAACACTTTCTTTACTTGTCTTTCCATTTATCTGCATTCCTCTCTTCCTCGTCTGTCAGTTTGCGGGAGTTAGCGGTCCTGGTACCAGCCCTGCTAGGGGAATTCCCCCAGTGGTCCGCTCTTCCCCACAACACTCCCTATCCAACCCTCCCGTCACGGTGAGCCCTGCTGTGCTCTGCGGTGTTTCTCGCCTTTTCATTTCACTAAACTCCTCCTTGTCATCCTATTTTTTCCATACTTGTTACTAACACCAACTGGAAGGTTTGAGGAGATTGGTGCACATTCTAGGACTGATCTTATGTTTGGTTGATTTGAAATCTTAACAGAATCATATTTTTGATGCAAATTTACTCATCCAAACAAAGTCGGTGGCAAAAAACCCCAACAAGTTTCATTGTTCTCTCGGATTACTTTTATTGTTAATCATGATTTGAAATGATATGGTGAAGAATGATGAATATTGTGTTTTTCAGGTGCAGCAAGGAAGCCCTTCATCCATCAGCTCGGTCAACGCAGAGCTCTCCACGTGTGCAATGAAGCCTGTCGTTCTTCACATGCTCCACAAAGCTACGCAGGTACACGACGCCAAGCGATTTGTTGACTGCCTTTTCTACTAATTAACTAGGTTATGATTTGGGAGAAATAGTGTTGTTGGTGTATGCATTTTCTTTAAGGAATAATTACCTCTTTTTGTGACAAAGCAGATGAGTTTAGAAGGTACCCCAAATAATTTGAAGACTAGATTATTTTGGGTGCTCAATTCATCCGTTCAAAATAACTTGACCTGCATCAGACTTAATGACTTTATTTTTTGTTTCAAAATATACATCCTAACTCTGGCTGTTCTTTAAAAGTTATGTTTGCATCTACTCGTTCTTAAGAAGCCTGAGGAAGTATGAAGTTTATTCTTATCATTTTCAAATTGGGGCTAAGGTTCTTGACAGGGTTTGAGTTGGTTGCCTTCAAGTATTTATATTGCTAGAGGTTTTCTGAAAGGATGGTTTAAAAGATCACTGACGGCGGTTTAAAGGATTTCTGGGTGGACTTTTTTTCACTGGACCATCTATTTGGAAAAATATTTAAATTATTTTTAAATGGAAGATTTTTACAATTCTGAATTTGGCTCTGCTTAAAAGCTGACCCAACAACCAATCGTTGCATCTTTTGCCACCCTTAATGGGTTTTCCTCCTGGACTGGCTCCCTATGGCTAACTCCTCTGCCTGATGCAGCCACCCCCCCCGTTCACTGTGGGGAACGTATGCAGGCTGATCTGGACATGAAGCGTTGGTCTCCTTCTAAACAACGCATTTTGCATGAAGGCTAAAATAGTGACATTTTGGTCACCTCTGACCAGAGAGCCTCACTTTTACATGTTTGCTGTGTCTCTGTATGGCTTGTGGTAAACTACACACAAGACGTTTGACTCTTAAGGGCTTATTTCTCGTCATTGTCGCATAGAGGATTCATAGACTGCATGAGTCGCTGCTGAGCTGCAGGTTTCCACTTGTTCCATTTTCAGATGATGGTTTGCACAAGATATAATATCCATTAACTGTGGATAATGTTATTATATTTTAAAAATGAAACCTCTCCATAACGCTGTCCCCGACCCTTGGGCTTTATGATCATGTTGTTCACTGTTAAACTGTGGATGCCTTCAAAGACCGGCCGCATTTTTGAAAAAGTGGACTATATTTCTGCTAAATTCTTAAGGCAATTGGTTGTAGTGGATTTTAGTTGGAGGCATTTGATTGGAACATTGAGCTTTTTAGTTTATTTTTTTGTTTTAGTTGTTTAAAATTTTGAAACAATTTTTCCTGGATGTTTCTTTTCTTTTTTTTTTATACAATCTTTGCTCTTGGTCCATCGATTGGATTTCAACTCAATGCAATGGATTTAGTTGTTTTAACATAATACAATGTTGAATCCCTGTGTAGTTAATATGTTAACAATTACAAATTGGTATATGTGGAATTCCTTGTTGCACTGAATGTCAATTGCTCAAAATGGACCCCTCATTAACGATCCCTCTTGTGCTCACTGTACTCCTTAGTCCGACCTTACATTAGAGAAACTAACAGCACTGGAGAACAGCAAGAACTCCGACCTGGAGAAGAAGGAGGGCCGAATAGACGATTTGCTGCGGGTACTAATCTCATCACATTTCATCGCTGCCACTTTGCTTACAGTTTTATTTTTCAAATGTGACATTCTATGTTAAGGGTTTCTACTCACATGTTTTGATTCTGTACTTATGTGATGACATTGAATAATCCTTTTTACGTTGCTTATTTCATATGTCTGTTTGCATTCTGTTCCAGACAAACTGTGATCTCAGAAGGCAGATTGATGAGCAGCAGAGGATGCTGGAACGATACAAAGAACGCCTTAATAAGTGTGTGACAATGTCCAAGAAGCTGCTAATCGAAAAAGTATGTTTATCTTTCAAGAGCTGTGACTGTTATGTTTAGTGTGCCGTGTTTGAGGCAAAGTCGATCTGTAATGTTTTGGTTCATGTTTTCCTCTGCTGCTCAGTCCAAGCAGGAGAAAATGGCCTGCCGGGATAAAAGTATGCAGGATCGGCTTCGACTGGGCCATTTCACTACAGTGAGACATGGAGCATCCTTCACTGAGCAGTGGACAGATGGTTATGCGTTCCAAAACCTTACAAAGTGAGTAAATAAACTTGAGGTAGACCTATACAGAGGCCTGTACCACAAAGCAGGGTTACTGGGTTAGCAAGACAACTTCAGCCTCAACCCTGACTTTCTGGTACCATGAAGCTGGATTCTCTCTTAGCAAAGCTGGTTACCATGGTAACGTACTCTCAGAACGCCAAACCTGCTCTGAGGAAGGCTAGCTTTCAGGATTGATCTGAATACCAGAAAACGCTCCACCCAGCAGCCAATCAGCTGTTTGGGAAACAATGACGTGCCCTCTGATTGAAGACCTGGTTTATTTCAGAGGGAAAGAAGAACTTATACAAAACTACTTCCCAATAAAGAAACTAGAAAAGCAAAAATAAGTTAAAACAAAATATGTTCTTGACAAATTTAATAGTTTTCAATTTATTTATTTCTTTTTCCTCCTTTTTGGCATACCAGCCATCTACCGTTCTGTATATTTTTCAGGCCTCATTCACTGCTGGCATTCTTTTATGATTGTTATCTGAAGCTATCCTCGTTTTACAGCATTTGTTTGCATTTGCTGTAGTAAAATTGAATGGAAGAAATTTTTGATGTGCAACTCACAGAACACAATTTGTGTACTTGTACTGAAGAATTTGAAGAGGTGTAGCTTTTTTGCAATTGTGACAGAAAAAAAAATCTACAACTACAAAACACAAATGTTGCAGTGCACAAATAGTTTTGCAACAATAGTTCTGGACCATTTATATCAAAACTGAGAATGTAAAAGGTTTTTGATGTGCAACTTGTAGAACAGAATTTGTGTACTTGTACTTAAAACTTGAACAGGTGTAAAACAAATTTGAACGAGAATGGGATGGCCTCCCCTCCAATGGAAAGGGAATGCAATTGTTGCTATGGCAACACTGTGACAATCCACGTGTGTGAATGTAGCTCTGTGGCGCAGGGTGACATAAAATCAATCATTTTCCCTTTCTAAGCACAAACGTATACGTCAGATAAAACAATTTCACAGAGGACCTTTCCATTGGGAATTAATAACTTTTTTTCATACGCTAACTTGCAATTTTCTGCTAGTGTGATGAAGATGCAGCAAACCAGCGGAACTTGCTTTTGGAAGAACATATTTCAACCACCATTAGGTCGCTTTGACACCCACTGCCAAATTCCAGCAAGCCTGCACTGGGGCAGAGTCGATATTTAAAGGCTGAATGGTCCACTCGCCTTACCCGCTATATGGTTTGGGATGGCACTTAATGCGGCGGTCCCTCTGCAGAAACATGCAAATACAGGGTTAGTGCTTAGGCTGGTTTTTGATTGGGAAACTCTATGTTGATGCCTTTTCCGAAAAAGCTCTACTTTTCTCACCTGACCAGGGGACGTTCTTTCAAAGCGTTTTGGGTTTTTCAAGTATGTTTTGGCAAACTCTAGCCTGGCATTTTTATGTCCCTGGATCAGAAGTTGGGTCCCCCTAAAAACCCTTCCATGTAGTCCCTTCTCATTCTGACGCCGATTGATAGTACGGGTTAACACTGTTGTACCCTAGGACTGCAGGATAGCTTAAACCTGTTTGGATGTTAGTTGAGGTCATCCACCATCCGTAGAATCTTTAGTTGAAATTTCTTTTCTATTCAGTCCACATCCAGGGAGGTTAGCCACACTGCCGTGGCCTTTAAAGTTTGATGAAACTAAGCAGGGTAGACACAGGAACTTCAGGTCTTTGGAGATGGACTCGTAGCCTTGAGATTGCCAATCTCACATTGCAATTTTGCTTCTCAATTAATCGGACAGCTCTTTGGTCTTCTTTCTTTTTTCCATGCTCAATGTGGTTCATACAAGGACACATGATTGAGTTTGAGTTAACTTGAATCCTTTTTAACTGGCTGAAAGTGTTATTTAGTTATTTCCACCACCTTTTGTGTGCTACAGGAAAGCAACAGGTGCTGTTAATTAAACAAATTAGAGAAGCACCAAATGTTTTTCCAAAGGGTGCCAATACTGTTGTCTGCCCTCCTTTTAATGTTGGGTGAGGAATTATTTCCAATTTGGCTTTTTGAAAAATCTTTGAGGTATTTCTGAACTTTTAGGACATTTAGAACTTTCACCATTTTCAAAGCAGGCAGATTTGACCATTTGTCCAGCTGAGTTCTGACATGGCTCAAAAGCAGGATGATTTCACTCAGACTGATCATTTATTGTGTTTTTATGATTTATAGTGGCATCAGCTTCCAGCTTTATTGTAGCCCAAAATTTATTATATTGAAAAGTCCAACTAATGCAATTTAATGCATTCGTTGCTGCTTTCTCAATTTACTATTCATTGTTTAATTTGTTAATGTCTTTGTTGTTTCACTGGAGACTCAACAAAAATTTTTTTGTAATCATTGTGCCAGTTTTATTATCTAAATGGAGAAAGAGAAAGCAAAATCAGATTTATTTGGCCACCACATATCTGAGATCAATGAGGCTGCCAAAATAATTCCAGTTCGCCTTAAGAAAAAAGTAGTTTATCTCATATAAAAACAAAAACTTTGCTTTGTATTGAAATTTTTTTTTGTTAGTCTTAAAACATAAGATGCATCTGTTTGATTTTTGTGCATTTCAGACAACAAGAGAGGATTAACTCTCAGCGGGAAGACATCGAGAGGCAGAGAAAGCAGCTAGCCAAACGCAAGCCGCCCTCCATGGCCCAGACGCCGCCTCCCAGCCTGGAGCAGAACAAACGCAAAAGCAAGACCAACGGGGCAGAAAGCGAAACGTACGACACATGTTTTTTATCTGCAGTGACATCGATATTCTCTTGTTCTAAACACATCTTCATGTTTGATTTATGACACAATTTGTTCTGTCTTATCTCAGGTTATCACAAGCGGAGTACCACGAGCAGGAAGAAATTTTTAAACTCAGATTAGGATATCTTAAAAAGGTAATTTATGAAGTACCTTTTTTGGCAGACTTATTTTTTTATATGCCAAGAGTTAAGAAAATTGTCTCAAACCATCTTTTTAGTATTTGTTCTCTTGCAATCTAACTTCAATTGTTTGTATTTGCAGGAGGAAGCTGAAATCCAGGCGGAGCTGGAAAGGTTGGAGCGAGTGAGAAACCTTCACATACGGGAGCTGAAAAGGATCCACAATGAAGACAATTCCCAGTAAGATTTCTTATTCAAACATTGAAAACAAGATCATACTGTTTTCTTTTTATTGACCCTAGAATAGTTTTTCTTTGACCGTTTTCTATTTAATATACATTTTAATTATATAAATATTGATTAGATCAAAATCAATTAAATAAACCCAGACAAGCCATGTTCCTTTTCACTTGGATTAACACTTCTGACTGATTCTTTATAGCCTATCAGTCTTTTTCCATTTGGCATTTTAATCATGTTTTTGAATCTGTACTCGCATCATTCATGTGGGCTTTATTTATTTGTTGTGAAAAAAGGATTTTTCCACAAACATTGCTGTTTTTGTTATTCAGTTTCCTTAAGGTGTCCTGCTTGCAGTGTATTTATCCTTTCCTCCTTTTTTTTTTTTTTTTAGATTCAAAGATCACCCTACACTAAATGACAGATACCTGCTACTCCATTTGCTTGGGCGAGGAGGTTTCAGTGAAGTTTACAAGGTGAGAGAAGGCATTTCCTTTCCTAAGCTTCAGAAGGAAAGGTCACTCAAGCTGCATTGACTTCATGTCTTTTTTTAATCCCCTCCACCTTTTTTATTTATTTATTTATTTTTAAGTGGCTTTTTCCCCTGGCTTTAAAACGATCAGAAATGTTCTCTCTCTGTTTAAAACACCCATTTGCTTCTTCTTTATATATCAGAGCTGTGCTGTGCATTCTTTTGCTGGTTTTACAATATGTTGAAGTTAACATTTTGTGGTTAATCATGAGCCAAAATGTCAGAGTTCCAGGAATATGCTGTCAGCACATTTATGATTAATGAACGCAGCCGTTTTAATGTGAGGAAAGGGTCTCAGTGCAGCTAAAGCAAAACAAAGCCATCTGTACTTTCTGTCTAACTTAACCAAAGCCTTTTTTTTTTTTTTTTTTTTCAGGCCTTTGATTTAACGGAGCAAAGGTACGTGGCCGTTAAAATCCACCAGTTAAACAAGAACTGGAGGGATGAGAAGAAGGAGAATTATCACAAGTGAGTGTTTTAAATAACTTACATTTTCTATAGCAATAGACTGTCTAGAACCAAGGATCCCTATGCAGTCTTTAAATAAACCCTGAGGTATAAATGTTTGAATGATTCTGAAATCTAGATAAATAAAAGGAAAATAAAGATGAACATTTATAACATTTTTTACTCTAACCCATTGCCTGGATTTCTTTAATGTTTTTTTTGTTTTTGTTTTTTTTTTTCTTACTTCTGTCCTTTCTTCCTTCCCCGACTACTTTCATACACTCTGTCTTGCTTTTTGTGTTTAATTCCTTTGCTGGGTCCTTCCTCCCCTCTGTTGTATCCATTTTTCTTGCCTTATATTCTTCCTTTTTTCCATATGTTTTAAAATGTGTTTCCTTCCCTCTCTCCTTTCTTCCTTCTTTGTCCTCTTTTTAATCAGGTGGGTTTCCATCAACTTTTTCTTATGCACATTTTAAGTATCACATCAGCAAAGTTTAATGGAAACTGGCAAATTTGGAAAAAACTCCCCTAAATTCGCAAAAAAAGATTTTATGCTGGCTTGATGTGGTTTTTGGCTTTTGTGAGATCTGTTGATCATCCGTTTCTGATGTCTGCGTTTTCCTGGATGTTCCTGTTATGCCCGTAAACATGGATGGAAGCAACATCCCAATTACTTGACATTGTAATGTAGGAACAACTTGCCTGATAACACATACTGGTAGATTAAAACTTTCCTTCATTACTGACCTGTGGTCCATGCTAGATTGGAGCCTCTACTTCTGTTTATTAGAGCCGCGCGTGACGACGTAATGTGGACAACAACTTACGAGAGGATTACGCTTTGCTGTGTTTGTAATTTGCTTTAAACTAAATGAAAACCCTGCAGATTGGCATTTAATTTTTTTCTAACTTTTAAAAGTTTGCTGAAAATTGGCATTTTGTTTGGAGGGAAACATGGCTACAAATTCTACCCCCTTTGTTCCCTCTTTCTTTTATACTTTTTTTTGTTCTGTCAAAATGACCCTGGAAATATGTTCATTATATTTACCTGAAAATTATATAGGAACACTGTAATGGTTACTAGATGGAGTTGATGAAGTTTGTTCTTATTGTTTTGGGGTTGTTGTTTCTTTTCAGACACGCCTGCCGAGAATATAGAATCCATAAAGAGTTGGATCACCCACGGATAGTTAAACTCTATGACTACTTTTCACTTGACACTGACTCGTAAGTCAACAACAGTTGAATTTGTCAGTATTTTTATTATTATTAGTTCCGTCAACCAGTTTGAAAACTTCTTAATGCCCTCTGGTTTTGTTGGAGCAGGTTTTGCACAGTGCTGGAGTACTGTGAAGGTAACGACTTGGACTTCTACCTGAAGCAGCACAAGCTTATGTCGGAGAAGGAGGGCCGCTCCATCATCATGCAGATCGTCAACGCCCTCAAGTACCTCAATGAAATCAGACCGCCTATTATCCACTACGACCTTAAACCCGGTCAGTCCACAGACTTTTCTATCCTACTTTATTTAACAAATTATATATATATATAATTGTTTGGTTTTTTTTGCTTCTGTGTTCTTTGTTGTATTGATTTGTGTTCATGGTTTATAATCCCCACAGCTCTACTGATCTATACATATAGGCACAAGTTAACAGCAGAAGCATATGAATAAAATAAGTTAATTTGTGTGGTAAAATTCACCACTGTCTAATTATAGTCTAAGAAATGTATGGTAATGTTTGTAACCCTTGACAAGACTAAGTTCAAATTAACATACAGAAATGTATATAATCCAATCCAAATAAGAAGACAAATTAAATATATATTACTCTCAAGCATACAAATCTGTTTGCAAAAATTGTTTATAAAGCTTCCTTTGGTTCTTAAGCCATTGATTTTGCAGCAGTCCCTCCTTCTAAGCTTTAGGTGATGGTAAAGAGGAACAATACCCCTTTATGAATAAAAGACCACAGAAGGTAGTGGCGCAAGTGTTCAGGCCCTCTGACAACCATCAGTAGTAATACAAATGAAATGTCTTACACAAGGTCATAGACCCTCTGCTTGCAGGACAAACTGCTGCATCCTATGCCACTATCCCCCCAAGGACATGCAGGAACATGTTGAATCTCATGATCAAAACATAACCTTATTGCCACCTGGTCAGTGTGTAGCAGTTTTCTGTCCGAAAAAGGGTGAAAACAGGAGGAAAGTACAATTTGATGTGGTCCAAATGATGCAGTCTGAATGCTGTCACCTGCGGCCATGAGTGTGTTTCTCTATACAGGAGTTTCTAGAAAATCTTTTTCTTTTATGTGGTTCAGAGGAAGATAATGAGAAGAAATTTTTTTTTTTATTTTTTTTTTTAATGACGATTGGGCTCTCCTGAAAAATTGTCTTTCTACCATGTAAAAAGGGAGATTTCAGGCATTCACTGGATTGGTGGTGAACGACAAGTCCTTCTTTCAGAGAATATAGATTTGGTGTTTAAAATGTAATTAAGCTACTTTATATTCAGGATTTGGTTAAATGGCATGGCAAAACCAGGTGCATTGTCTATAGAGGGCGTAAAGCAATAAAATGTCAACTTATCACTGATTGCGTTTTTTTTTGTTTTTTTTTCTTATCCCTCATTAGGTAATATCCTGCTTGTGAACGGCACTGCCTGTGGTGAGATTAAGATCACAGATTTTGGCCTGTCCAAGATAATGGATGACGACAGCTACAACCCAGTGGATGGGATGGAGCTGACTTCACAGGGAGCGGGGACATACTGGTAAGATTGGCTCCTAGACCGCTACACTGCCCCAGAGTTGGATCAAAGATTCATTTAAATATTCCAGTTTTGTGGGGAATGAAATTATTTGAAACCCTAGATTCATTTTATCACAGAATAAAGGTTGTACATAATTAATGAAAAAAAAGCTGATTTTTTTTTTTATATAAAAAATACTTAATCTTTAGAAAGCAGATTAATGAATTTTACAGAACATAAAGCCAGTTGCTTTGCTTCCGTTACAAATATGCCCAAAAATGTGTTGATATTCTGAAAATGCAAGGTTTCCCAATTGTAGTATTTGCATTGAATACCAAATACAGTTAAATCCATTTGTTAATGAGATACCTCTGAAGGCAAAATGGCGGCGGCAGATACAAATGCATGAGATGTATCCACATTTCCGTGGGTGACATTATCCTCCATTTACTTCCTGTCTTTTTTCTTAATCTTTTTATAAAGCAGTAAGGGCCAGCTGAAGATCACACGACGTGTGTGATGCAGAAACTGTTTGTTTGAAATAACCGAAAAACCAACTCATCGTAGTGTTGAAAACATTTTATAGAGGGAAAAAAAAGTTGTTGTTTTTTTTTTTAATTGCAGAGTTTCCATTGAGTTAATTTATTTTCATAATTAGAATTTGTCCAATTTGATGGTTAATGGAAATGCAGCTACTGTCTGGTTGATTATTAACCACTATTTGATAACATCAACCTTCCAGTGGGGTTAGCTAGGGCGTGGTCAAGACGTAAAAGCTAGCTTAACCAAACTGAAGCATGAAGAGTGAGCAGCACAGTGGTAGAGGTTAATCCACTGATGAATATTTAAGGGTCAATGCCTGAGCTACTTTGTCCAAGGCGCGGTCTAATGATGCCTGAAGTTAATGCTGCCAAGGGAACAGAAAGAAAACTAACTCTGGAGGTTTGTGTTTAAGTGAATGGCTTTCGCACCTAAACCCAGGGCTTTGATGATGGAGGCTTGTACCAGCATGTGCCATTTGAACCAGTTGGAAAAGGAAACTGTAAAAGCAACCTAGGGCAGCCCTGAGGTGTTTTTGAGACTGATATTGCAAAACTATCACATGAAAATATAAAAAAAACAACATGCACACTCCATGAACCCAGCTTCTACAGTGCAAAATACAATTATTTTTGGGTGAGTTTTGTTTGTATGAATAACTGTGTAAATGTAGAGGGATGTGGAGGCGATCAGCCTTCGTTTCAGCGGAGGTAAAGAATGTTTTTAGATTATTTCCTGCTGGAAACTGATCTGTTGCCCCAAGAAGCTTGTCAGGAGAGGAGAACAAGAAAAACCTTTTCTAATAGGTGTCCAAGTTAAGCTGGACTTAATAAAAAGACAGTAGAGGAGGGCACTGCTCTCCACATCAACCGACTTGATTGCCAAATAAATGCAAAAAGTAGTTACATTTAAAAAGAGGAGTTTTAAATGCCGAGACATTAACCCTTTATTTATCTTCTTTCGCTTCTGATATCACGTTTGGTTTGGGAGTGGCTTCTTAATAAAAGGAAAGTCGTATTCCTGAAAAGTCTGACTCAAACTGTAGTCCCCCAAACGCTGTAATGGCTATGAAACCTTTTTAACTGCACTGTTTCCTTCCACTTAACTTTGAAACTTTATTTCTAGATAGAAAATACTTCAGCAATAATTTTTTTGATTGTCTTACTTATGGGGTTGTGAATTTGGTGATCTCCCCAATGATTTTTCAAATCATCAGAGGGAAAAACAAAACATTTGTAATAAGCTGTAAGTAAATGGTTATGAATCAGTTTTTATTTGTCTAAATATGAATAAACTTTTCCATCTTATTGTAATTTCACAGAGAAACATCTATTATCTTTCACATTGTCCAAGTAGTTGGAGACACAAGGCGATTGCAGGTTTGGAAAAAACAGTATTTATTTTTTTATGTGCATTAAAACAAATTCTGCTTTCCTCTTAAGGTACCTGCCTCCTGAGTGTTTTGTGGTTGGCAAGGAGCCGCCAAAAATCTCCAACAAGGTTGATGTTTGGTCTGTGGGTGTCATTTTCTACCAGTGTTTATATGGCCGCAAGGTAGGAGTCACAACAAGATAAAAAGTCGCCATTTGTTGAAATAGATTTTGAGTTCTGGAGTTGATTTTTTTATTTCCAATAAAATTGACAGACTTGGACCTTTTTTTGTGAAAAAAGTGTTTGCGTGTGTGAAATCCTCTTCTTTGGATTAGGCTCTAGGCTTCAGAAGGAAGATATTTTAACACCCTTTCTCTGCCTTTTTCTTCCTAGCCTTTTGGTCATAACCAGTCTCAGCAGGATATCCTGCAGGAGAACACGATCCTGAAGGCTACTGAAGTTCAGTTCCCCCCAAAACCTGTAGTCTCCCCTGAAGCAAAGGTATTTATCTCATTACTACACTGCCGCCATACCCAAGAGGTGTTAACTCACATTTAATAACTTTGGGTTTGAAACATCTTTTACATTTTAAGGTAGTATTTATTCTAATTTGTTTACCTGATTTTTTATGCCATTTTCTGATGTCACTGCTCAGGCCTTTATAAGGCGCTGTCTAGTCTACCGAAAGGAGGACCGCATCGATGTTCACCAGCTGGCCAGTGATCCCTTCCTAATGCCCCACATCCGCAAATCAGTGGCTTCCTCAGGCACCTCCGGCACGGCCGTGGCGTCTACGTCCAACTCCTCTAACAACAGCTCCTCAAACTGAGCTCATGCCTCTTAAATGACTGACTGGATCATCTGATGGGACTGGGAGGCCTCCCCTGTCCGATCTCGCCTGCCCATGGAGAGTTGAAGGATAACTGTTCAGCTGACGGCGTGGGGTGGGTGAGAAGTCATGGAGCGGTTGGGAATGGAAACGTTGGCTCTCTCCCACAGCCCTCTGGTGTCCATCCACCCCTGCCCACCTGCCTTGATGCTCAGAGGGCCCACATTGTTCTGGGGGTCAAAGCCCTGGATGACTCACACAGCAAAGGGATGAGCTTCGGCACTGTGTTGGTTGGGTTTGGTGTTTCCAGTGTTTCTTTTCAGCTTAAAAAGAGGGAAAAAAAGGTAATACAGAACTGCTTCAGCTTGGAGAGAGGGACAGGACTGCCAAAGGCCTCATATTGACATGCTCTCTCACACATACACCCGTGCATGAGCCTCTCTGGTCCAAGGTAGTCAAACCATCACCAGTTGGAACATTTTGGTTGCTCTTATCTCCCTGAAGCTAAACAAATGAGTGAGTAAGCCAGTCTGGGCTCCAACTGTCTGGATCCCTTAAAGCCCGCAGCGTCATCATCTTAATCTTTTTAAACTTTGCCATTTTAAGAGTTCAGACCCATTTAGTTTGAGATGATGGATAAAAGAACCGTCAATCTCATCGAGCCTCTCCTTCATATCTAGTCTAACTCCTGTGACCAAAGCCTTTATCTTCCAGTTGGTGGCAGTGTTCACCTGTTTTTATAATGAATGGTTTTAGAGTTGTGCTACTTGACAGAGCAGAAGCCCCTGAGGTTTGCCCCCCCATGACCCACCGAAGCATTTTTTTTTTATTTTTTTTTATACAAATGGGGAAAAAAATGTTTTAATTTAGTTCATTAGGAAAACTGCAGTTTTCCTGTTGCCTTTATTGAATTGTTACAATTTTTGGCGAGTATCCCACCCCCACCCAGCCTCTGCTCCTTCTTTCCCTCCATAAACAAATATTTATTTAGGTATGTTTGAATTTTTTTTTTTTTTTTTTGGCCAATAAAATGCAAGGGACTGGTTTACCTACTAGTACTGTTGGGGGGAGATTGGGCCTTAGCAAACAGTTGCATAAATCATTAAATACTGTTGGTTAAACTGTTTCTTGTTCTGTTCTTCTTCATTCATTAGTCTGATAAATTAATCCTTTTGGACCAAAGCTGGTTTATAAATCGCCATTGTCAGCCTTAATTACACTTCTGACATGTCATTAATTAATCTATCATTACAAGCTAACATTCACTTAACTCTCATCTGTCTTTTATGTAGGCATTATTACTAGAACTACTTTACAACTGAGGTCACAAATTAGAGCTGTAATTTCAATACAATTAGTTTTTATATAGCTTTTTATAGAAAAAATACTATTTCTTGTTTCCAGTAATGTTCATACTGTGTAATATTAAAGAAAATTGTGGTGTAACTCCCTAACAGAATAATAGATTTTATGTATAGATGCCTATCTGGACACTTAAGGTCACTATGCATAGTTTTTTTTAAAAAATACAAAGCTTGGTGACAATACAGAAGGTCCTGAACAAGAGTTTAGTTTCTTTATTCAAAGTTTTTAGGGTGGGAACATCCTAATGTCGTGGCTTCAGTTTTTCTAGAAACAGTTTACAGTTTGTTAAAATGTTATTAAAAAAAAAAGCTTGTTGGCAGGACGAACACTCATTGTTTTTCTGGTTAAGGAAAAACTTCAATGTTTCATTCAAACTCGCATTTGAACCCTCGATGTGGGGGGAAAAAAAGTGCAGCTGGCCTGACTTTCCATCCTTATATGCATTGAGATAGCACTGAAGACTATTTCATCTTAAAGAGAAGCTTTCCTTAAAACATGGAGAGGTTAAATTGCTGTGAAAAGGGCTTAACACCCATAACTGTAACCTCCAGACCTGTGTATTCCTCAGGGACTTGTATTCCACTCATGCAGAGAATGTTCAGTATTGAAAACAAGCATGTGAATGCATCTGTTTGGCTTTTCTACTGAGCGAAAGATTCTTAAAGCTTAATCTTGATGTTATGAAGCTTTACAGATGTTTTGAGCAGCTTCTAACAGTTTAGGCACAACTAGGTAAAGATTTCTATGTTCTCCAGCATGATGGACCTTAGCCACCCAAATTGGCTGAAATATCAAAGCAATAAAATTTGGATCTAAAAACTCTGTTGGGTGATCAAGGGAGTATAAAAGATACTTCACTCCTGTTACAATTTAAAATCTATTTCTGTTTATATGCATGTCCAGTAGGTGGGAAACTGGCGTCTCACAGATTTATTCTATAACAAAATCTGGTGTCGTTAATGTAAAGGGATATTCCGGTTTCGAAAATACTTTAACATTCAGCTTTCTGTAGTTTCCCCCTTTAATATTTAGATTATTTTGAATTTTGTTCTGATCCATTCAAATATTTCAAATCACCACGTAATATCAAAAAAATAACTGGAGTAAACATTGTTTTTTAGATGAAATAAGACTATTCCTACTATCCCAACTATATGGTAAATTCTGGCTGTTGTACCCACAGCCTCAAGAACTACCATCATGTCTTTATGATAACTTCTAATCTGAGACTAAGATTGTTGCTGTAGCGCTCTCCTGCAGAATTGTTAAGAATCAGTCACAATTGCAGGGGTGTCAAAAGTATTAATGTTTATTACTTAAGTAGACCTGTACATCCTACTGTTTAAAAACACTTCAGAATCAGAATCGGGTTTATTGCCATTGTTAGTGAAGGAGTTCACAACTAGGAATTTTTTATGGTACAATCGTGCAACATGAAACATATATGAAATAGGTAAATAAAATTATAAAAATCTCTTGTAGGACCTGGGCAACCATTAGCCACCCCTGTGGCCACCCCTACCATTTCTTTCCCTCTAATACAGATGGTGGCAACAGTAATACTCTCAAGTGGAATATTCAAAACATTTTATTTTTTTGTGGTTATTTATACACATCAATATACTAACATCAAGGATGATAAGTACAAAATTAATTCTCTTTTCAGAGCAAGATTTTGTGTTTTAAAGGGGTAAAGAGAAAAAATATGTGTCTCTTCTAGTTCAGTGAAATTAAAGATAAATAATAAATTATCAAATAATCAATTTGTGCAGATATTAGTGCTTGTAAATATCCATTTTATTCAGAATGTTTATTGATACAAGTAGGTAAGTAATGACTGATGATTGATTTACTCAGAACTCAAAACTGAGTTTTATCCACTATACCTTTTACCTACAAATTACGGATGTTTAAATGTACGCGTCTATTTGTTAGCAAAGGCTGTAGGAAAGTATAGTTAGTCTTTATTTAGAAAATATGGATTTTTTGCTCGTTAATGTTGGAACAGTGTAGACTGACTGTGAGGTTCTGATGCCCATCTGCTTTTGTCCACCCCTCAGTGTACATTGGTTATTGCCTGGCCACCCTTATAAACATTTTCTGGCTATGCCTCTGGATCTATACTCTTTATTGGTTTAATAATCAAACACAAACAAGAGCAAACAGTGGTGAGTTCATACAGAGACGTAGCCAGAATTTTTTTATAAGGGTGGCCAGGCAATAACAAATGTACACTGAGGGGTGGCCGAAAGTGGATAGGCACCAAAATCTCACAGTCAATCTAAACTGTTCCAACAAGAAAATAACGAGCAAAACATCCATATTTTCTACATAAAGAAAAACTATACTTTCCCACAACCTTTGCTAACAAATAGACGCATATATTCAAACATTCGTGCTTTCTAAATAAAAGGTATAGTGGATAAAATCCTTTCAGGTTTGAGTTTTGACCGAACATCTTTTCCACTGTCATTACTTATCTTTCATCAGTAATCATTCTAAATAAAAATTATATTTACAAGTACTAATATCTACATAAATTGATTATTTAATAATTTTTTATTAAAACAGTTATTTATCTATGATTTCACTGAAGACTAAGTGACTTGCAGAGACATTTTCTCTTTACCCCATAAAACAAAATGTATTTCTGAAGAGCATGCATTCTATATTTATGATCTTTAATGTTAGTATATTGATGTTCATAATAAACCAGTGTTTTTGTTGTAAAGTAATTGTTAATATATGAAAAATGTTTTGAATATTCCACTTCAGAGTATTACTGCTGCCACTATCTGTATTAGAGGGAAATGTATGGTAGGGGTGGCCAATGATTGAATAAGGGTGGCCATGACCACCCCTGGCCACCCATCTAGCCCCGCCCCTGAGTTCATATAGAAAACAAGTTGAAACCTAACAGGTTGTATAAAATGAACTAAACAAGCTGGTTTGCAAGCTTTACTTTTTTTTTTTTTTTTTTTAAGCTTCCTTACTTGAGTGAACTGAAGGACCCCGGAGCTGATGTTGGGAGCCCCACGCAGCTGACTGCTCCATTCATTGCTTTGAAGGAGAAGCGGAGGCAGCCTCCCTCTGCTCCTCTCTGCTCCCCCTCCTCTCTCCTCTCTCCGTTTGTCTTGTTGTTGTTGGGTCTGTGATCCTGCGGCTGTGAGCATGCAAAGCAACGAGCGACACCGAAACAAGATCGCCGCGCCGACATGGACGAACAGGCCGCTTATATTTTACAAATGCACTTTATTTTATTTATTCATCTTTAGTTTGGAGCTGAGGAGGAGCGACACGGGTGAGGAAAAAACAAAAAAAACTTGCAACTCTTACGTGCATGATTTCATTTTGCAAACAAAAACTCGCTAATTTTTGAAGACATTTAGTCTAAATGTGCGCTTTTACTTCACTTTTTATTTTAAAACGGCTTTTAAAAAAGATAATGGTTTTGGATTTTTGTGTTGTGAAATGGTGCGAACTTAAAGTCCGAGCAGTGAGTGGATCCAGATGTGGAGAGAAATGAGGGGAGCAGGAAAGGGGCTGGTTTCTATATTTTACTGTTTCATTTAAAGAGAAAATCCGATTGTTTTATTTTTTTTATCCTGCTCTTTTTTTTTTTTCCCTGATGGGTATTTAGGTTGCATTGCTGAAGCCACAGACTATAAAGTGACGCTTCATTGAACTCCCTGCGGCCAGATGTGACCTTTAGGTCCTGATCCAGGCTGCAGTTAACATGGTCCCATCCAATCAGGCCAATCCACAACATAACAGGGTTCTTATTTATTTGTAATTTTATCTGCTCATTATGGAAGAGGATTAGGGGCACTGAAAAAAAAAATATAAAAAGTGAACTGATTTTTGAATACTTTTTCAGTATAATATGAGAAAAAAGTCAGAATTCTGACTTTAATCTCAGAATTCTGACTTTGATCTCAGAATTTATACTTTTTTTCTCAGAATTCTGACTTTAATCTCAGAATATTGGATCTTAATGTAGATGGTCATCATGAAGGAAGAAATGTGGAAGCACTCAGCTTCACCTACAAAGATGTGAGTTGTTTGAGAGGGTGAGTTACACATTGGTGGAAAATGACAGAATTTGGTGACTTTTTACATGCTCAAAGGGGTCCCCGGTAATGCTATTTCATTTATGGTAGAGCAGAAGGTGATTAAAGTAAGACAGCTAGCCAGACATGGCTACAACCTGACGCTAACATGTTTGTAGCTTGTTAAGTCAGAATACTGAGATTAAAGTCAGAATTCTGAGAAAATATCAGAATTCTGACTTTTTTCTCATATTATACTGAGATAAATGTAAAAATCAGTAAAATGTTTAAACATTATTTCAGTGGCCCCAATCCTCTCCAAAGGTTGAGCAAAATATTTTAATGTTTATTTAAGAATTCTTGTGAACCAAAAAAGTAAACATTTGATTTATTGATGTTTTAAAATATTATATGATCTAAATATGAGTATGTGTTTTATTGCATATACTGATTTCAGCCTCACTGACTTATAATCTGACAGGAGAGTTTTTGTCCAGTTCATTGGTTTTAGTTTCTGCTCTGCTTCTGGAATGATACACAGATCAGCTTTGATATTTTTTGGGCTTTGCTGTCTGTCCATCTCACAAAAATGCATTTTCTGAGAAAAGTTACATCACAATAGTGACATGCAGGAAGATTTAAGGTGGGATTTTTTGTATGTTGACTTATACAAAGCATATTTGATCAACCCAAGGAGATTTATCAGTGGAATAACTGTTCTCTTTAATCCAATATGTAAACTTAGGCTGTGATAGATTTCTGTGAATACATGAGGGAAAATTTATGAGCTCTGGTTTCTAAATCTAAAACCCTTATGCCGATGTTCTACTGTATTGCACTTCTTACAAAATCCTTTCACTCTTACTTTTTCTCTCATGAGGTACAACTTCTGGGACCAATCATTTGGTCCCATTTTGTAGTAATGATCTGGTTTTACTTTTATATCATCCGTTTCTAAAAATAATGTTAGAGAATGATAATTTTAAGAAATAAAAAATAGATGATAAAAGTGGGGAAAGAAGATGAATAGCATTAGGTCATGTTCAGCTATTAAAGGGAGCATTGTTAATACTTTATTTGAACTTTTATTAAACTGCTTAGTCACCCAGCAGGTTTCCATAATGTCTTCAGTGACTAATGGGGCTGGGATTTGGGGTATATCTGCTGCTTTTGCAAAAACTTTGCTTGCTGTTAATGAATGTAGAAAGAGGAGAGAGAAAGAACAGCAGGGGAGCTGTTGTGGCTTTACTTCCGCAGACCTTGGTGGTTTGAAGTTAATTCTTAAAGAGCTGCCTCACATCAAACGATAAACTGAAGTTTCAGTTTGAATTTTGTCTTGATTTCTTGAACCTTGGCTTTATGCCGCTGTCTCTTTTGAAAGCTGACCCCTCTGTATATGCTTACAGGAGACATAGGAATGTTTATTGATGTTTTCTCTTTCAGTTCATAACTAATGCGTTAACGGAGATTATACAAGATAAGTTTTAGTTGATAAGTCAATAATCAGCTTGTTTTTACAGAGCAAAGATAGTGAATAAAAGCAAAGCCAGACAATATTTTTTTTTATTATAATGTGGTTGAAAAGACCGAAAATGAGGGAATATATGGTGACATCCTGAAACGTCAATGGCCTAAGCTAAAAGTATTTTTGCCTTTCATTCCTAAACATGTTTTTTCTTTTATTGAGCACTTTAGAGGTCCCATATTAATCAAAATTCACTTTATAAATATTTTGTAACTGTCACATGTGTCCTGAATCCTGTGCTTGAGGTTCACAAATGAAAAAAAAAACATTCACCCCTATCATTTTCTTTCTCCACCTCTTTGCTAATTTGTGCTCAGAATGCTCAAATGTTGAAAAATCCTACCCCTTATGATGTCATCACGGGAAATGAGTCTTTCATCAAATGTCTTATTCCGTACTCCTAGGCTATCTTTAGCGCTGACTGGTTGTCATCCAGAGGAGGTAGATAGTAGGGATGGAACGGTTTATGAAAACCGTCTGAACCGTTTGGTTCAACTGTGTCGGTTCGGTTCGCGTGTGTTGCGTTCGGTTCATTCGCGGCTCCTTTTTCTCATAGGCGAAGTGTGTACACTCCAGAGCAGAAGGTGGCGGTACTGCAACCAAAGCCAAACACCAGTAGTAAACAAGAAGAAGAAGAAGTGAAGCAGCGTGGCCGGGTGTAGCAGAAAAAAAATCAGTTGTTGTGGAGAATTGTGTGGGTATGGCGAGTGGGAAAGAACAGGAGTTGGAAGACGCGCCTGCAGCACTTTATAGGTCTGCTGTATGGGACCGCTTTGCATTTAGAGCGACCTACGATGACGGCGGAAAGAAAGTTGTGGATAAAAGTGCAACAGTGTGCAAGCATTGTGCAACACGTTTTGTTTATGCTAACAGCAACACGACCAACATGTCAGGCTAACAATCAACATATACCGAACCGAAAACCGTGACCACGAAACCGTGAACCGAACCGAACTGTGGATTTTGCGAACCGTTCCATCCCTAGCAGATAGTGTCCCAACTACTGTAGCTATATAGGAAGAGCCAATAGCTACAGTAGTTGGGACACTGTCTTCTACGAGCTGGGAATTTTTTATTCAATAACTGAAAAAAACTAAGACAAAAAAACAACAACCTAAAAATGCATCCCTGTAATCAATAGAGAAATTCACCAATAATAGAATTAGTCATGTATCAAGAATTATGTTTTGTGAGATTAAAATCTCGAAAAGTTAAATATCGTATTGAATGCACCTTATGTATATATTCGTCATTATTTCGATTTGCTTATTTACTCGCCTTTTGTGATCGACTAATGCAGATTTTTTAAAAGGCCGATTATTTTGACATTAATCTTTTTCATTGCCGAAAATCTTCTGACAACTTTTGGGGCTGATTCTTAAGGCTAGTATTAATTTTTCCTTCTCTATTTACTGATTGAAAACAACACAATATTAACAAATGTAACACAAGTTTCAATTTGAACAGAAAGAATAGAGGTAGTGGCAATGCATGCACCTTACATGTTCTGAAGGCATGGTGTTGGAATGTATTAATGAATGTCACTTGTCAACATTTTGCTCTTATTTCCTGGCTGTTTTTGGCAAAACAACCAATAAAGTACGAGAAGCCCAACTGAAAAGTGGAAAATCTTCGGTAATGGAAAAAAAAAATCAGTGTTTAAAGGTAAATAGGTCCCAGGATCTTACAAAGAGGCAGACTTTGAGGTGTGTATCCAATCAGATGTGTCTGTTTCTCTGCTTTCAACACCAGTCTGAAAAGTGAGAAGCTCTACCTGCAGCAATAAAAAGTCAGAGAGGGAGGAGAGGGCATTTCGCAGAAGTATTTCCAGATGACCGTTTAAGTTGCAGCCACGGACATAATTTTGTAAAAACTACAAATTTGTCCTCTTCTTCTATGTATACTAAAAAATATATATTACCGTACTTATGTTTGTGTGTATTTATATGTGTATTTGTTTGCAACTTCCCCCAATTCTTTTAAAATGCTTATCATGAGGAGTCATTTATGGTCATCAATATTATTGAAACTCCTTTGTTTTATATATGTTTTACATATTATTCATGATTGTTCACTATTTTTTTCTATTATTTATCCTGAATAGAAACATGTTAACCTATAGTTCAACTTTAAAATAAAATTCCTTAAAAGGAATAATAAAAAAAAGGGCACACTCCTCCAATGTTACAATTTTTCTTTATTTTTATTTTGCAGTTTAGCCACTTTCTGTGCTTCAAATGAACAAATGCTGCTACATTAATAGATAATACTGTATGTAATTTTAGGCCATTGAGAGACAGATACATGTCTTTAAGAAAACAATTCGTACTTATCCCCTATGGGATGATTAAGTTTAACTTATCTCTGTACTATTTAATTAAATGATTGTTAAAGAAGTTCCTCCTCATTAATTTCCCTATTCAGACAGCTCTACTTGTTTCTGCTTCTGTTATCTCTTCTTAGGACTCTTGTAGGCTTGCTAATACTCATCCTCATTATTCCCGACACTTTTCTGTTTAGGAGCTCTCTGGAGGCTTACGGTTTTTTTGTGAATAGCTTTTATCTTACCAAGGAAAAATTCCAAGAAAATCCTTTAAACTTGTGATTTAAGTAATCTATGTGAATACATGCCCTTCTCTTTGCTCCCTTTGACTCATTTGTGGTTTGTGTTACTTTATCTAAAGCAGGGCATTTTATTTCAAACATCAAAATCAGCTTATACTTTTTATTTTCAGATATCCATTGTAAATTTCGGATGATATTTTGCCCCTTAAAGGCAACATATTTGATTTAATTATAGTCTTGTTGGAGGATCAAAGGGAAATAAAAGTAAACAAGCTCCTCATCTCTTTGTCTCAACAACCAAGCTTTGTTATTAAATCCTGTTCTAACATGCTTTGTTGGGAGACAACTGTAAAGCAAAGTTAGAATGCAGGGATTTTATGATATTATAAACTTACCACTTACAATTTAGAGTTTCACACATTTTACCATCAAATGTACAACAAGGGACAAAGCTTGATGATCCGGTCTCTCTGTGTACATAAGAACATAACAAGATGTTGTTATTTGTTCTTGTCTGGGTGGTAGGGAACCAAGTATTTGGGCTGTGACTGAGATACTGGTCAGTGATGTTGTTTTCTCCAAAAGCTTAGAGATGATTCACAAACTCACATCCTGGGCCTGCAGAGAAGGAATGCTGAGGGTCCTTCTTTATTTTGTCTCAACATCAACAATTGTGAGGGAAGCGTTCTGTTTATTTTGGCAATTTTCTTTTAAACAGCTTTAATTCAGACGCTTAGCTCTTTCCGTGTCTCTCTCTCCTTGCCTTACTCTCATATCTGCATAGCAGTCTCGGTTTGTTGATTACTAGTCTCTATAAATGAAACTCTAAATGACACCACAAGAAGCTGAAGGAAAAACATCTTTCATTTTTTTTTCTCAAAAGCCTTTGTTGCTGGTGTCTCCTCCCTCTAGAAGCCCAATAAGTTTTCTTCTCAGTGCTTTTTTAAGCCATACTGTATGCAAAAATATATCTTTTTCAGACTTAAACATCAACAGACTTTATTTTCAGCCAGCTGCACATTTCCAGTCTTCACTTGAGCTAAATTATGTTGCAAGCCTGTAAATGAAAAACAAAACATAAGACAGAAGAGAAACAGTATGAATATAAGCACACATATTATAAATAATGATTAAATAAGATAAGTTGGGGAAGGACAGTAGAAGCGACGACCTGCACAGTTTTCATGTTATTGTTTTTGGTCATAATGATGAATAAAATACATTAATCCAAAAAACCAGCAGTGTTTTCTTTTCATCAGCAATTACAATAAAAGAGCTTTAGGACTGCCTACATTAAACCTACATGTTGGAGTTATTATGATTTCTGTTGTTTTTATCATTTTATTCATTTATATCTTTTATATTGCTTTTAATCATTTGTTTTTCTATGTTACTGTCATCAGTGGAAATAGTGTATGCAGGTCATAAGGAGGTCAAATGTTTTGCGAGAATGCTTTCCTGTTTTTCATTTGAGAAGCACAGAAGTTAGACCCCCGATACCTTTTTTAAAAGCGTATACTGAAATCAGACATGATCCCTATCTTAAAAGTTCATGCTATGTCTAAGAGATTGCGTAATCGAAACTAACGCCTGCTGTTGTAATGTGTTGACTGCTCAATAAATAAGCCTGCAAGTGTCGAGCAAAACATAGATGCAGAGAAAGATACTGCTCTTCCCTTTACAAAGCACGGTCAGGAAAAATCTTACACTGTTTTTGTTTCATTCTTTATAGGTTAAAGTTGGGGAAACTTAACAACCCTAACATTACACTTTGAATCCTCTGACTGAAACTAGTTCAAACCCAGCTGAGCATCCAAAATCTTTAATATTGATCTTTTCCCTCTCAGCTCTTAACACAAAATTGCATTTCATCAGTTGAATTGACTGCTGTTTCTCTCTCTCTATACACAGCACCAGTGGAGTCGGATGATTTTGCTTTCCTCCTTGAAGGCACTAATAAGTGCCTTGGAGTTCTGGAGAAGTCCCTGAGCTTGAGCAGGTCGTGTGAGGAACCCAACCAGAGATGGAAGTGGGTGTCTCGGGGGCGCCTGTTCAACCTGGGTACCTCGTTGTGTCTGGGTTTGAACACAGGAAACGTCACATATAATCCAAATGATCCTCCCATGGCCATGTATATGTGTGATCGAGCACCCCCCAGAGTGGAGTGGACCTGGAACTGCAATGAGGTGCTGGATAAGCTCAATGTTCTCATTCACTCCCAAACGTTCTGGAACGGGTCAACCATCTCATCTGCAACCAAATGGACGTTGTATGGAAAAGAGCAGAAGCTCTGCTCCAAAACATATCAAGGTAGGCGGGACAAATCTTTAGTTTTACACACCTGGAGTTTGTCAGATGCAGGAATGATACAAGTTTTGTTTGTTATCTAGAATTATTTGTAGTTTTACAAACAACTATAAACAACCATAATAAAACTGTTTCGCAAAG